CCTTTCCCCCTGCGCTGGGACGCCCCCTTGGACGAATACCAGGACCTGCGAGCGCCGCCCACCTTCGCCGCCCGCCTGTACCCCCCGCAGCCCGCAGAGCCCCCCTTCTCCATGCCCGTTGCCCCTCCCTGCCCCCCCCAGCCCGCCAGGCCCCCCGGCCCCCCTGCACCCAAAGACCTGGTGTCCATAGCGTGCCAGACCGACGAGGACCCCCTCTTCCCTCCCATGCAGGCATGGAGCCCCGTCCTCTGCCGGTCTCCGTTGTCTGCTTGTGTGTTTCTGTCTTACTGCCTTCCGGCGCTGGGGAGCGCCTGGCCCCTGTGCGCTAGGTACCGCGCTCCCGCACGGAGCTGCGAGGGCTCAGAGCCAGTTTAGTGCCAGTTCAGGGTCCTCCTCCGGATAGATGGAGCTCAGCTAGGACCCGTCGGGCAGTGACTGGCCCACGAGGAAGTCCTGTTCCCCGTCGGGTCAGCCTGTGTCACGTTGAGTGATCTCCGGGGTCGCGTGACCTTGACTTGACCTTGTGTTCCCAGGCCCTCGCCCCGCCTCCTGTCGGCCGGCACGCCCCCCACCTCGCCTCGCGCCCTCCGCCCAGCCCGCCCGCGAGCGAGAAGGCAGGACTCCCCTCTTTCTAAGCATGCGGCTGCTCTCCGGACCCCCGCGTTCCTTGTAGTCTGCTTGTGAAGCTCACGCCGAGGGTGTTGTGCACAAAACGGCTGTTGGCACGGAATTTCCTCAGATCACTTTTATTTACAATGTACTTGCCTGACTTAAGCTCTAGAGTGTGTGAGTACGCGAGTGATTAAAATTAATCTAACTACAAAGTGAATGGCCTGTGTGCATCTCACACACCGTATTGTTAAAGTATAACGATGGACACTTTAACACATTGCAAACTTAATTTTCTTACATTTGCACGGTTGGATGTTGAAAATGAGCAAAGTTGTCTTTTTTCCCCCCCTGTTCATCAATGTAGTACAGACCTCATAAAGCCAGAAACTATTGTCGCTATTGTGGAGGAGGGTTTAACGGCTTCAGCAGAATTTCCTGTGATCAGCTTTTTGGGGGAGAAAGCGATTTTGATCTTTTTAGCATCCCCTGCAGGTGCTGCCTTGTCTTTGGTAGGTGCGGTGCAGATTCAGGAAGGGTGCAGTGGGGTTTCTGTTTGAAACCTGCAAATCTATAGATGGGAGGTGATATGAAATACAGACCCCATGTCACTGCTCATTTTAATTGTGATGCACAGTTAAGAGATTGTTCTGTTTCTACGAACTGTTAAATAGGATAGTGTTCTTAAGTTTAATATTGTTCAGGTGAAGCCTGGTGAAATAGCTGAGCTCTGCTTTTCTCTTTCCCCACACTGCCCACAGGTACGCTGTGCTGTCCAGGTTGTTTGGTGTCTCTTAACCTGCCCCCTGTATTTGTATTTGCCCCCTGCAACGGGGTTGTTATCCTGCCTTGCCTGATGCTGCTTGCCCTGTGCCTGTTGGGTTTGGCTCGGGGGGCAATGTGACCCCCTCAATTGAATAGATTGGTCTTTTCAGAGCTTGAAGTGGTGGGGTGCTGGGGGAGGTGGGGATAGTGCCGTGGGCTCTTGTGTGGGGGTCTCCAGGGAGGGTGAGGGGGGTTCATGTGCTCTCACTAATCTGCACTGGGGGGGTCATGATTGATGAGCCCCTGTTTTTTCTCTTCTGTCCTGGGGCGTGCGGGTTTTCTAGGCGATGAGCTCGGAGGGCTGAAGACTTGAACCCGGGGGGGGTGTGGACTCGTGAAGCTGGTAATGGGGTTTGGGGAGCTCGCCAGTGGCTCCCTCTGGACCCCGGGGCTCGGCTCCTCCTGCCCTCTGTCTGACTCCCCCCTCTCTGCTTGCAGATCATGGCCCAGGGAAAGGGTGGAGGGGTGTCGCCCACCGGTGCCCCCAAGCCAGGGAACAAGCTGGACAACATGCTGGGGAGCCTGCAGTCGGACCTCAATCGGCTGGGCGTGCAGACTGTTGCCAAGGGCGTCTGCGGGGCCTGTAAGAAGCCCATCGCCGGGCAGGTGCGTGTGGGCGTCTCTGGCCGGACCTCCGTCTCTCTGTGGGTACCCGCGCCGCGCTTCTGGAGTGGAGCAGCACATTACCGAAAACTAAATTTACAAAGATTTTCAAAGCGACGGCTCTGTGGCTCAGGATCTGTGCCTGTGGCTGGGAGGTTGCTGGTTTGTATCCCGCAGCTAGCAGAGGAATCCTGCTCCGTCGGGCTCCTGAGCAAGGACCTTAAACCTAACTGCTCCAGGGGCGCCGTATAAATGGCTGACCCTGCACTCTGACCCCCAGCTTCTCTCTCCCTGTCTGTGTGTCTCATGGAGAGCAAGCTGGGGTCTGTGAAAAGACACATTCCTAATACAAGAAATTGTATATTGTATAAGTGATGTTGTGATGTTAGTTATAATCAGCCCTGCCGAGTTTCACTACAGTGCGACATTCACCTTTAAAACTGAAAAGAACCTGCTCCCATACTTTTCAACTGAAATCGACGGAAATCTGCTTCTACACATGAGATGACACTTGAACTGCCAGCCTGCCAGCAAAAGCCAGCTTGATAGTACTGAGGAAAATTAAATGAGAGGGAAAAATATATTTCGTCTTTGAATAGGTGAACTGATTTGTGCGAACAAAAACCTACGCCAGATGGAAATACTGTTCAGTGCGGTTTCACTGCCCAGTGAAAAGTACATCTGTTTTGCACGTCTTAAATTACCTTTTTGCCTGCTTACCTGTAAATTTGCAAAGATTTCTAATTAGCGCTGCTGCGCTTCAGCACAGTGCGACGTTTGTCCTCAGTTTATACTGTTGAACTGGGGTTCGCGCGCTTGGGTGAAACAGTCTTGCTCGCACCAGCTGCTGGCCATTCAGTAAATCGGCGGTCCATTCACACACGCACTTAAAAATGGTAAGAACTGAGACTGACCACGTCCGTTAAATTTCGGCGTTTTGCGTGACCCCCCCCGTCTCCTCTCCTCTCCTCCCGGTCCGCGCTGCAGGTGGTGACGGCCATGGGCAGGACCTGGCACCCTGAGCACTTCGTCTGCACCCACTGCCAGGAGGAGATCGGCTC